CCGCCGGAGCCAGCACCCACCCGGGGAGCCGCGATACCATCGGGGCCCATATCGGCAGCATCCAGCCTCGGCACGAGCTGGTGCTCCCGCTGAGCCCGGCATCCCAGTCCCGCTGGCTTCCCCACATGCCGAGGCCTGCCGGCTCCAACGGCCAGCTCCGGCTCCAGCTCCGGCAGCGGGGAGGAGGGTGCATGGGGCCGGCGGCACCGGGGGCTGCAGTCACCCCTCGGGAAGCAGCCATGGAAGGGAATCACATGCACGCACCCATGCGCACGCACATACGTGCATGCACATACACACACATGCATGCACACACACATACAAGCATGCACACACACATGCACAATCACACGCACTCACATGCACGCGCGGCCCCGAGGCTGCAAACCTCTTGCTGGCGGAGGAGGCGGTGGAGCAGGGCAGAGCCGCTTTCCAGCGTCACCCAGCCCTTCCCAGCGAGGATGCAGCCTCCCACCGAGCAGCCTGCGGCACCCAGCGGGGGAGCGGGCAATGGAGGCGCAGGGAGGGAGAGCACCCGGAGCTGGGCCTGGGTGCACTCCGCCTCTCGGCTGGCATGTCCTGGCACTGGCATCCCGGCACGCCATGGCACAATCTGGTCGGCAGATGCCTCCGAAACCAGCAAAGGGCCCAGGAAACAGGGGGGGTCAGCACTTTCTCGCTGCCCAGAGGGGCTCAGGGCACCCGGCATCCCGTGGCTGGGGGTGCCAGGACCCACCTGGGCTGTGGCACGGCTCCATGCAGCCCCACTCCCGGCTGTCCCCAACCCCTGGGACCCGCCATCCTCCAGCTGGAGCCGGGCAGCGATGCCGCTGGGTGTGCCGCCCCGCGCCCGGCTCTCCCCGCTCCTCCAAACCAGCCGCTCTCCAAAGGATGAAGCAGTAAAATATTCAGCAGAGCCCCTAGCATTTATCACACCGTAAATCTGGGCTTTCAACAGCTTTACGATGCTGCAGGGAGATGGGAGAGAACAAAATGCTGCTCTGCTTCGTCAGACACAGCCTGCGTGTGCCAGTGCCCCCAGCGCTGGGGCTGCCAGGGGACGGGCCCCCAGCCCCGCTTGCGAGGGGGATGAGGACCGACACAGGGGGCTCGTGTGGGTGAGGACCCCGGGGACACTGGCCAGGGGGGTGCTGCCGTCACCCAGGATGGTGACAGCTCTGCTCCAGTCCAGGGGCAGCTGCGTTTCGGTGGGATGGTGATGGTGCAAAGGGGTGAAACGTGCCTCCGGCATCGGCTCTGCAGAAATATGGCAGCCATCAGAATGGTTCCCGGGCACGGCCCCCAGCCATGGTCCCCCCGCCCCGTGCCCCAGCACGCTGGGGTCTGCTGCTGCCTCCGGGCTCAGCCCGCAGCCGGACTGGGATGCAGCGCGCTGGTCCTGCTAAAGAGCACCAGTCCCCGTCCCCGCAGCCCCAGCCACCAACCCCCACCTCCCGGCAGGCCGCTGCCGTGATTGCAAAACAAGCAGCGAGGGGAGGAAGCCGTGATTGCGCTGTTTGCACAGCGCTCGGATGCATCTGGCAAGGCGATCAGCCGGCGGCACATGGCACGGCGCGGGGGCGAGGGCACGGCGAGCGAGTCCCCCACCCCGCACACCCCCTCGTGCTCCAACACACGCGCGTGCAACCTTTGCACGTGCGCCACGTCCTGCCCCGCAGCGCGCCCAAGCGCACGCTTGGCATCCCCGCGCCGGCCTCGCCCGCCCAGACCGCGGGCTGGCACGGCACAGGGGGGGCCACGGCGGCGGCTGCGGGAGCCACATCAGAGCGGCCCCCCTGGAGCAGCCGGGAGCGTGCGGTGCTGCCCTCGAAGGAAATGCGCTCACTCCCATGTGCTGCACACTTGGGTTCGCCTCGCTGCTATTTTTATTTGACTTTTCAGGGCCTGTTTCCTTTTTCCGGCTGTTTTTGCTGTGATTCCACCGTCGCTTCGACCTCGCTTTTCCCCTCCCTCCCCTTAGCCTTTTCCTTCACTCT